TTCAATCCCCACCTGCCCTGGAGGATATCCACATGGCGTGGCAGACCTCTCCTGACCCGCCCGTTGCTCCCCTCAGCAGTGTACCTTGTCGATCTACCTGTTCTGCTCCCCACTCTGTCTCTGGTGAATCCTCCCACCCTCCACATCTCTGGCCTGTACCCCTGTTCCATGTGAATAAATAAATAAACCTTAAAAAAATTATCTTTATTTTTAAGTGACAGTAATGCATGTTACATTACTTTCTCATGCAAAGGCTTCAAAATCCTGTCTAGTTAAACTTAACAGCACTGATCAAACTCAGATACATTTATTGCAGTAAGATCTGCAGTTAGATTCACAAAGTTTGTGATTGAAAAGTAGATTCACAAACCCACATTGTCTCAATATATGTAAAAGTCTTCTAATAATTAGAGTATTTTAAAATTAAAATTAATTGATTTAAACATTCACTTCCTCAGTTGCATTAGCCATGTTTATTCAATTGCAATATGTGGTTATTGGCTATTGTATTGAATAGTACAGCTCTAGACAACTAAGTACTTTTGGCTTTTAAGTGAGAGAAGGAACTCTTGTGTTTTGAGCAAAGGAGTGAGTTGATTGGAAATAAGACTGCTAGGCTATGCTGGAGAATAAACTGAGGAGGGATGGTAAGGACAGAAACAAGGAAACAAGCCTGGAGGTTACTATGGTAATTCAAGGTGAGTGATGGTCACTGTTATCAACAGGGTGGCACTAGAGTGGTAGTTGTGAAGGTATGGACATGAGATAGGATTCTAGAAAATCCTGTTATGAATTGCAGTGGGGTTTAGGGATGATGTCAAGATTTTTGGCTTAAAAGTGGAATGAGGGCCTCCCTGGTGGCCTAGGCTCTGGCTCTCTCCTGCTTGTTCTGCTCCCCACTCTGTCTCTGGAGAATCCTCTCAGACCCTACCCCTCCACCACTGGCCTATATCTCAGTTCTACCTATACATAAATAAACAAATCTTTAAAACAATGGAATAATGAAGTCTTTTACAGAGATTTTTAAGAAGCAAGTTTGGAGATAACAGAACATCAGGGTCTAAGTTTGGACATTTTGAGATTAAGATGCCTCTTAGACATTTAAGTGGTGATGTTAAGTAGACAATGGATATAGCCTCTGGAGTTCAGAGAAGAGGGCTCGAGTTTATAAATTAACATATAGGTGGTATTTAAAATTTTAACTACAGGAGATCATCAAGGGAGTGTACAGAGAGAAGTGGCAGGGTCAGATTATTTAACCAGCAATATTTTCAGGAAAATGTAAAAGCCAGCAAGGTCAACAATAATTGGTGGAATAATATAAGAAATTCGAAGCAAAAATAGTGTTAGACCCTTCACCGCAAAGGCGAGTATGTATACTAAAAGATGTGCAGATCATTTTGCTCGACTGAAGCAAAAATATAGCCAGCAGGTATAGAAAAGACACACTGGAAAGGCTTTCACACTGGCTAGCCAGAGCTCAGATCTGAGAGTTTTGTTTTTTTTTTTTTCATTTTAAGGTTTATTTATGCATACGGGACTGGAGTACAGGCCAGAGGTGGTGGTGAGAGGATTCACCATAGTCAGAGTGGGGAGCAGAACAGGCAGATCAATGAAGAATACCACTAAGGAGAGCCCGATGCACCATGTGGATCACCTCCAGACAGGGATCAAATTCGCACAGAGGCAGCTGCGGCTAGCTTGCAGTGCTGCGCTTAAACCCGCTAAGCCACCTGGGAGGACCCGAAAAGGCAAGTGTTCTAAGGAACAGAATTAGTTTCCTACACGGGCATATAAACCAATTAATCTGTACTACCACAGAGCGAAGCCATACAACAGTAGATATATCATGTGACATATGGAAAGAAAGCCTTGTCTTGGGCTGAGCAACAGAGCGGCACATACATGGAGGTCCCTTTTCTCTAAGAGCAAGCGCACTTGAGCTTTTTAAAAAACATTTATTTTCTCACGTCCTCGTTAACATTTACATAGTATTTGACCTCGGGACACACGCGCTCTAACGTGGGGCAGGCTTGCTGGGGGAGGGCCTGATAAGGTGAGTTCCGGCCTGGCTGTCCTCTTGAGCTGGTGATTTTCGCGGACTCCAACCCAGGGGCGGAATGACTTGGCTGGGTGAGGAAACATGGAGTCATTTAAGGGTAGTGTCATGGCTCCTTTAGCTCAGGGCTAAAAAGCACTGAGAAACTCAAGCGGCCGGCAGGCTGAACTGAGTTCCGTAAAAGAAGCTTCCTTGCCACCTCCTCCCTTAGTCCGGAGAGAAGACTCACTGTGAAGGACGAGGGAGGAGGGGGCTGGGGGGGGGGGGGGGGGGAGGACCGATTCGTAAAGGAACCTTTCCGGTCCAGGAACCCGGACCTACCACCCCACCCCTATCTTCCTTTTACGACGCAATCCCACCCAGGTATAATTCCCTCCCCGGAAAGAAAACCGGCCTGGTTAAACTGGTTGACTCTAAAAAGCCGGCCGTCGTCGCCGGGGAAACGCCCGCTCACGCCAGCGCCCCACAGCAACAGACGGCGCATGGGTGGAGTCAGAGCGGAAGACCCGCCCCCGAGGGAGTCACGGGTTGCAAGGGAATGGGGCGGAGCCCACGCAAGGATCCAATCACGGTAGGTGCTTTCACGTGACTGATACCGACCAATAGGCGGCCGCAGCGAAAGCAGCGGGGCAATTCAAACGTGTTTATGGTGGTGGCTGGGGGTTCCATCTTTTCTCCTCAACCCCACTTTTGGGCGGTGGGTTCCGGCCCGCCGTCTTGCCTAGGGGCAGCGGCGGCCAGTGTGTGTTGGCTCCTCAGCTGCTTGGGTCGGTGAGTAGTGGGAGAAGCTGGGAGGTCGCGAAACCCGGTGGAAGACTAGGGGCGCGGCTAAACGAGCAGGAGGGGGGAGGGGAACGCTCCTGATTCCGCCAATCCACTGGGTGCGGCGTTTGATTTTGTTGGAAACCCCGGAAGCAGGTGGTGGGTGTGGTCCTTGCTGGAAAATGGGCCTGACCGGACTCCTGGGGGGCAGGTTGGAAACAAAAGGTCGTCTTATTCTCGGCTGGTGTTTCAGAACAAAGAGGAGATGGGGCGGCTTTCTGTCAGTTACCTTTCAAATCTGACTTCAAGGGTAGATATCTAGCTGCCCACTTTATCATTTCTTTACATTGTTAAACTGCAGGTGAGAGATTGCATTGGTGTCTGTCACTCAACTGGACAAACTGAAAATTCCTGCGGGGATGTGTGTGTATACGCTACACCTTTTTATAAATGGTGCTGTTAAGATATCTGTGTTTAGATATGTTCGTAGAATTAATGTTACAGTCTGGGTTCTAAAAAGCTGCTTGCATATTTTTTTCTTTTAATGCTAGTAGAATTAGATGTTCGAGACTAATAAAGAGGTTGACAGGAAGAAAGGCTGTAGATCTAGCATCCCACCATACTTGCCAGACCGGCAAGTACTCATTAGAAATACAACAGATTTTTGTCTGTGTGATTAAGGTGGCAAATCACGATTCTGCTACAACTGTACCAAAACAAGCCTGCTGATATTCCACTTACTAGTAAAGAGCCATGATGTATATATTCTGCTTTGAAAGCACTTGCAGTGTGCACTTTCACTTATATAAAACAGGTCAATAAGGGAATGATTCTTCTCATTACTCAAGGATTCTTTGTCACTACCAGATTCCAAGCAAAATTCCTTCACATTTGATTTTGCTGATGGCCCTAACACAGTTAAAGGGCGTTATAGAGGAAATGAAAAATTTAAAAGGGAGAGGGAGCGGCACAGCCTACAGGAGCAGCATTTTCTCTTGTACAATGGCTTTGTTTAAACTTGGTCTTTGGAAATTTTTCTGATAAATTAGAAAGATCTGCAGAGTTTTGTGTACAGTTTCATAAATACTACTGTCACAGTATCTTTTACTTGTGTTCATAGAACTAATGCTTTAGCTTTCTAGGTTCTAAATAGCTAGTTGCAGCAGATTTATCTTTAAATGCTAATAAAATTAGAAATTATGACTAGTTTATTTCTTTTTATTAGAAATGGAGGCTGAGGATTTAGGAAATAGAGAATTGACAATTGATTCCATAATGAACAAAGTGAGAGATATTAAAAATAAATTTAAAAATGAAGATCTTACTGATGAACTAAGCTTGAATAAAGTCTCTGCTGATACCACAGGTGAGTTCCCTTTAAGTACACTTTTAGACAAAAGGATGAAATGTTAAATATTATGTGTTCACATGTAAATTTCTCTTATTGATGCTTAGCAATTCAAATACATTTTACGTTTTAACCCTTTTGTATAGAAAGATTCCTACAGTTTTCTTTTTTAAGAAAGAAACTATTTATTTTTAAAGATTTATAACTTTATGCATGCAGGAGCTGGGGTGCAGGCCAGAGGTGAGAGGGAAGGAGAAGATTCACCAGAGACAGATTGGGGAGCAGAACAGGTGAATTGACTGAAATGCACTACTGAGGGGAGCAGGAGTGGGGCAGGCAGGTCTGCTGTGCCTTGTGGGTCACCTCCCTGGCTGGGGATGAAACAACTGCTGCAGTGGCTGTGGAGAGCTTCATAGTTCTGAGGTTCAACTTGTGTCACCAGGGAGACCCTAGCATCACTTATTAGAATGCTCAGGTAGTTTTCTTAACTTTAACATTATTGTCATTATTATGCCTACAATAGATATGCAGTTTTTCCATTCCTTTTTTGCTGGAAACTGAGAAAACACCATTAGTCTTTATAAAGTTTGTATATAAATTTAAGTCAAACACTCAATTAAAAAAAAATAATTTTGTGTTATTCTAGTATAATACACATGCCTGCCACCAATCACCAATAATCTTCCACCTAAATCCATTGGGCTCTCTGCCACTTATCCAAGATCTTGTGGCAGCCTCAGTTCTTCAGACATATCTGTTTTGGTTTGAGTTTTGTCCTTTGCTTTGTTTCTTTACAGTCTACAGAATGGTATCACTTGGTATCCGCTCTTCTGATTTATTTCACTTAGCATAATCCTTTCCAGTTTCATCCATGTTGTCATGAATGGTAATGGCAAGAGTTCAGATTTTTAAAGCATGGAATAGTATTCCATGATGTATATATACCACATCTTTATTCACTTGCCTGTTGTTGACACTTGAGTTGTTTTTATAACTTTGCTGCTGTAAAGAGTACTGTGGAGAACATTGGAGTGCACATATACCTTTGAACTGATGTTTTTATATCCCGTGGATGGATAGCTAGGAATATGATATTTCTAATATTTTGTGAAACCTCCATACTGTAAAACACTCAGTTTTTTTATTTGGAGATTCTTCCTTTAAATCCCATGGCTTTTTGCCCCTACTCTCCCTTTCTCATCTGTTTCAGTCATAACAGTTTCCCTGCTGGTCACCTATGTGTTAGCATAGCTCCTTTGCCTTAGTTATCTCTATCTTGAACAACTCTTCCCAGATACCTATCTCCCTCTGTTTCAACTGTCATTATAGTGGAGTCTCCCGTAACCCACCTATTTAAAATAGCAACCTCTGGAGTGAGTGTGTGTCCCTTCCCTCTTTCATCTTATATATGATTTACTCTTGTGTGTTTATTATCTATTTTTATCTATTATTATCTATTTTATCTATTAGTACATGAGCTTCATGAGGGCCTGGTTTTTAATCTTAACATTGTGCCTGGTACATAGTACATACTTAAGTAACTACTGAATGAGAATATTGAGTACAAATGCCCCAAGTTCAATACTATAGCTATAGCAAAAGATATTAATGCATTCACATTTCTTTCCTATATTTCATATTTTTAGGTCATTTGAAAATTAATGTTGGAAAAGAATTAAGTTTGTTATAGTTATGTTAACCATGAAATATATGAGGAGTTGAAGATAGAAAGAAGTGCCAATAATCTAGTCATGATAGATCATTTGAAATAAGCTAAATACCACTTATTTTGGTGTTAAGCAAATTCTTAAAAAAAAAAACCCATACTTTGTTATGTATATTTAAATAGCGCTAACATAGCTTGTACGTTAAAGTGGATATGTTCTTGTTTAAAATTCTTAGCACAGATTATAGCTTGAAGCTAAAATGTCATGAACAGGAAACTAAATTTAATAATTCAAGTTGTCTTTTTAAAGCAATTAACACTAATGAAAATAAAACATGAAAATTATGCAGAAATGTGGGTAATTTGGAGGGAGAAGAAAATTACTGTATTTGGTTCCTGTCTTGTAAACTGGTTTTGTTTGGTTGGCTTAAAAGTAGGTCTGAGGCCCTCTCTGGTAGCACAGTGGGTGGGGCACAGCACTAAGAAGCTAAAGTCACTTCAACATGAGTTCAATCCCCTACTCCAGAGGTGACCACAAGGTGCAGCGGACCTCTCCTGACCTGTCCACTGCTCCCCTCAGCAGTGTACTTCGTCAGTCAGCCTGTTCTGCTCCCTACTCTGTCTCTGGTGAATCCTCTCACCGCTCCAGCACTTCAGGCCTATACCCCAGTTCTGTGTGCATAAATAAATAAACCTTTTTAAAAAATTAAAAAAAAAAAGTGGATATGAGGTATAGGGAGATAATAATGTTAGATTACACAGGTGATAGTGGGAGGGCTTATATTTTCTTTGCATGATTAGTATGCTAGAATAAAATTACTCCACTAACACATGAAATTCTCTTAGATTACACAGAATTTTAAAAGCTGTTACTTTTTCTAATTTTTTCATTCCTTTGAAATAATGTAGTTTTTAAAATAAAATATACCTTCACAAAGATTTATAAGTAGTAAATAAGTCCCTTATATTTACATGAATTGTTAAACTTTTGAAAAGTTACTGTAAAGAGTTAATATATATTCATGCTGGTATATAAATGATTGCAATATGAAAAAGTGCAATTTGGCACTGGTTTTATTTTTCTTCTGTTTTACATTTTGTTCCCTTATTTAGATAACTCTGGAACTGTTAACCAAATTATGATGATGGCAAACAACCCGGAGGACTGGTTAAATTTGTTGCTCAAACTAGAGAAAAACAGTGTTCCCATGAATGATGCCCTTTTAAATAAATTGATCGGTCGTTACAGTCAAGCAATTGAAGCACTTCCTCCAGATAAATATGGCCAAAATGAGAGTTTTGCTCGAATTCAAGTGAGATTTGCTGAATTAAAAGCGTAAGTATTAGCATCTTAATTTCATTTAACTATGTCATGTAATAGCTTAATTACATTACATAAAAGTAAAATGAAATTGTCAGGATTACTTACCAGACTAGTCCTTTTTGACCACTTGTGTTTACAACTAATAGGTGAATAATGTATACTGTCTTTAATATGCACATTATTTCCTTTAAAATTAATTATCCTAGAGTCTTCCTAAATAAGAAAAGATTTTAGAAAACAATTTACTAGCATTTAATTTTATACAAAAAAAAATTTTAAATCCCATATCTTTTGGAAAATACAAAACTTAGGTAAACATGTCCTTTTTTCTTAAAACTTGACTTTGAAATCTCTATTACAGTATTCAAGAACCAGATGATGCACGTGACTACTTTCAGATGGCCAGGGCAAACTGCAAGAAATTTGCTTTAGTGCATGTATCTTTTGCACAGTTTGAGCTATCACAAGGTAATCTGAAAAAAATTCAAATCCCAATTTTAAGTAAAAGGTAACTTCCTGATGTAAGTTGCCTACATAAGCCACATACATGAAAAGTAGAAATAGGAAACAAAAGACATGAAAGCTGATCAGATGGGAATATGAGGGAATAATATCACCTAAATATAAATGCCAAGAGTATTTTTTTCTACTAAATCTTCCAATTATGGGAAGTAACCCAGGGAAATAAAAATGAACATGGTATTTGTACTATTACATTCCAGAAATACCTGAAAGACTGGCTTTTTCCCACTGAGTATTATGGGATAAAAGATAGAAGATATTTAAACTAGACTTAAAGCAAACTGTTTATATGTTATAGTTTCAGAACATCAAAATACATAATAGAACATAGCTATAGTATTGGTAGTAGCTTTTTTTTTTTTTAAGATTTATTGGATTGTAATAGTAGCTTTTAGGTCAAATTCAAGTTGTAATTATTTTAAACAAGGTTTGACTAGACTTTCAGGAAATATGCAATATCCTTGAAATCCTGCAATTTGGTGTGTATGTGTATTGTATGGGTAAACGATAGTCTAAGGTTTTTTACCAGATTCTCAAATGATCTGTGACCTTATTAAATTCCTAATTACTAGTTTAATCTAAGCTTCTCTTCTTTTGTCTTCTTAAAATGTTATAGTACATGAAATGCCACTACTCTAAATAAATGTTAACATTCTTGACTGTTGATGTAAAATTTGTAAATTGTCAGACACTAGAGGCCATCTCTTAACTTGTCTCTAAGTGCCAGTTTGCACAGGTTTGTGACTCTTGTAACTGTTGATAACAAAGATAATGAATTCTAAAGTAAATATATTGGATAAGTTTACAATTGGAAGAAAATTGGCAATTTTTCTGCAGTCTCTTATATTTATTTGTTGTTACAAATATAACTAAAATTGCAGCATTTACAGTATTAACTGGCCAAGAATCACTCCCCAATTCACTTGGACACTTAAAAATTTTAAAAATTTGGAGTGGTTTAGCTAAGTCTGATAGGGATAAATCAAACTATCATTACTTTTTTACATGAATCCTTTTGATGCAGTTCTTTAGCAAAAGATAATCAACATTAATAACTTCTAAATTATAAGTATAAATTGATGCTGTTGAAACTATTGTAACATGTAGGGCTTAATTTTTTTCTTCTTGCCACATTCTCTTAGATTTCTGTGTGTTTTTTTTAAGGTTTTATTTATTCATACAGAACTGGGGTACAGGCCAGAGGTACAGGGGCAGTGAGAGGATACACCAGAGACAGAGCCGGAAGCAGAATAGGCTGACTGCTGAAGTACACTGCTGAGGGGAGCAGTGGATGGGTTAGGAGAGGTCTGGCGCACCATGTGGGTCACCTGTAGGGTAGGTGGGGATCAGACTCATGCGGAAGTGGCTTTAGCTTCATAGTGCTGTGCTTTAACCTGCTGCGCCACCAGGAAGGGCCCAGGTTTCTGTTTTAGTTGGCCTTTACATTTCTTCTCTTCTGAAAATGGACAATGGTGAATAAACTAATGCATAGTGACATCAATTACCAGTTACACAAATACCTATTTAACATGAATTATTAGAAATGAATGAAAATGTGCTTATGAAATAATTTGTACGTGAGCCTTAGAATAATTATTTTTGCCTAAACCTTTTTAATTTTCCCTAGGCCCTATTAAATGAGTATATGGAGAGTAATGACTACTTAAAATAATGTTTTTATATTGTTAGGTAATTTCAAAAAAAGTAAACAGCTTCTTCATAAAGCTATAGAATGTGGGTCAGTGCCACGAGAAATGCTGGAAATTGCCATTCGGAATTTAAACCTTCAGAAAAAGCAGCTGCTTTCAGAGGAGGAAAAAAGTTTACCCGGTAAATGTATTGAAGTGTTCTAATATAAGTAAAAAGGTCTTTAGTGTGTCCATGAAAACTTTTTTTCTAATCAAGCTTATTGGTAACACAATGAAAACATGCAAACAGAACTTTGAGAGCAAGAGAATGACTTTGCTTTTAGAAATAAGGAATGTGGTTGTTTTTTTTTTTTGGAAGATTTACTTATTTGTGCATACAGAACACGGGTACAGACTAGAGGTATAGGGTCAGTGAGAGGTTTCACCAGAGATAGAGTGGGGAGCAGAACAGGCAGACTGATGACGTCCACTGCTGAGGGGACCAGCAGTCGGTCAGGAGAGGTCTGCCACACCATGTGGATCACCTCAGGGGCAGAAGTGGCTTTTAGCTTCTTAGTGCTAGTGCTGTGCTTTAATCCACTGTGCCACCAGTGAAGGCCCGGAATGTGCCTTTTTTTAGTCAGGAAACAGTTGCATAATTGTAAAAATTATGAAGTATATTTACAGAAATAACCATCATAACATCTTAATATCTACACATGATTTGAGGTCAAATATTTGCTGTGAATTAACTTTTAAGTATTCTTATTTGTAAGAATAGTTTTTTGTATATTCCTTTTGTCTTTACAAATTTAATTACTGTTTCAAATTTTTTGCAGCATTTACAGTATTAAGTGGCCAAGAATCACTCCCTAATTCACTTGGACACTTACAAAATAGGAACATCAATTGTGATTTTAAATCACAGACTACAAAAACCAGGTGTTTATACGGGTAAGGAGATGATCCATTTTGTAATGTACATCATGCATATATTTTATCTATACATTATACATGTTTCTGTTAGAGCTGTAATATGTTTTGTAGTTAAAGGAAACAAAAGAGTCAGTAATATTCTTTTTAAAATTGGGGGTATTTTCTTTCTGTTTAGAGAGAATGTGCCTCCTCAAGATTCAGAGATAGTTCATCGAAATCCCTTAAAACAAACAAACAAGCGGGTAAATTATCTTTATTTTGATTAAAGTGATAGTGTTGAGGTCTTTGTTTATTTCCTAGTTGGTTACATAATCTTTCAAAACATTTTTAGTCATGTCCATTTGGAAGAGTTCCAGTTAACCTTCTAAGTAGCCCAGATTATCATGGGAAGACAGATGGTTCAGCTGTACCAACTTTTACAAAAAGGTATGTTTGGGCTTTACTTTTACAATTTGTTTTCCATACTTGAAGACTGAGGGCAGAATGGTCTTCAAAGTTTTTTGCTATGTAATAGTAATCACTCAATTAACTGTCCGTGTAAGTAGACTCTTGTTTCTGGGTTCTCAATTCTATTCCAGTGATCTATGTTTTTTCTATTTCAATACCATACTGTTGATTACTATTTTTTTGTAGTATAACTCCAATGCATCTGTACTTTTTGTCAGTTACTTTGACTATTCAAAAATAATATACTGAAAAGAAATCAGACATTAAAATCACTTTGTTTTATGGATAATAGACAGACCTCTGGATCAGAATGCCGAGACAGAATTGTGCCTGGATGTAAATCAACTGTAAATGATTCCAGTGAATTGAGAAATTTAAAGGTATTTCAATTTTTAATTCAGTTTTTAAATCAGCAAGGGTTGCTGATCCAGAGTCTACGGATTTTTTTCCTGGGGGAAGGTGTCTAAAGTTTGTATATTTCCAAAAGTGTTCTTGAAGCCCCAAGATGGAGACCATTCGATGGGAAGTGGAAGAGAAGTGCTAAATTTTTTCTCAAAGATTGCTGTGATAGAGCAAAGACCAACAATCTCTTGGGATAACTGAAGTAGCAATTACTGTGCAGTGCTTAACATACTAATTGGTCTGGGTAGTAGCTAGGCGAGCCATTCTCCTCCACCCAGCTTTTGTTTCTTAGTATGTTTAATCATGAAATGGCACTGGCATCTTAGAGAAGAATGAGGCAGTAAAGTATGGAGCAGAAGTGACAGTTTAGGTAATCTTGATAATCTTGAAACATAGCAGAGCAACTTTGTATTGAACTTCTAAAACGGACACATTTTGATATTTAACCTTGACTAATGCTGCTATTTCTGGTGAAAAATATGTTTGTGAGTCTATGTGTATAATAGAGCAGATAATTTTCCTAGAAAGTCCTTTCACATAGATGACACTTTGGCATATTAAACTCTAAACAAATTAGTGCTTCTACTATTTATGGGACTTTATTTTATTTGATCTCTCTCTTTTTTTTCCTGTAGACTGTTAAAAATATCCATTCCAAGGAACCCATAATGTCAGGTGAGAAGAGTTCTGAAATAATTACTGATTCAGTAACCCTGAAGAATAGAATGGAATCAAGCCTTATAACAAAATTAGAAGGTAAGAGTGACAAAATAGACTTCCTTAATTTAGAAAACCCTGCTTGCAAAGCTTACTAACCACCTAAGAATTGCAGGGTTAAGATTATCTATGCCTCTTTGTCTTGTATTTCAGTTGAACTATGTAATGTATGAAAAGTATTGAATCTGTAGCAGAGAACGTGTATTTGTCTAAAAGATACATAAAAGGATTAGTGAAGAGAAAATAAAATGAAGCTGAGTGTTGGGAGTTTTATTTCTTTTTTTGGTTGCTTGGTAAATGCTTTCTAGAAAGGACAAAGAAACTGTTTATATGACAATTCTCTTTTATCAAGCATTTGACATTGAATATGGGAGCTATACTAATAAATATAATACTGGCTAGAAGGTAAAGGGTATCTCGAGCCATATAAATTAAATAAATATTCTTGCCTTTTGATGATAGCAACAAATATAATTTCAGAAACTAAAGAACATGAAGAACCAAAGGTTCTAGAAAGTACTCAGAAGCATTGGCAGCCTAAGAAAAATTCAGAATGTATAAACCAGAACCCTGCTGCATCTTTAAATCAGTGGCAGATTCCAGAGATAATCCGAAAACTTGATTCAGAGGTAACAAATGTAACACTGTCATTGTTTGTAATGTGCTAAAATAGTTTACCTAAAGTGATGTCTTAATATTCACAAAATACTGATCAGTGGTATCATAGGTTCAATAAGAGTATATGCCAAACTGAATTATTTTCTGTTTTCATTTGTTTCTAGATGGACTATCTATGCCAGTTTCTAAGTTGAAACAGTTTCTACAACAGACTATCTGACCTATAAAGCCTAATGTCTGTTATCTTGCCCTTTACAGAAAACAATATGCTCATCCCTGAGCTACTGCAATGTTGTACCGAATCATTTAACAATTTTCCATTTACATCCTCATGGATAAAATAGAAGAATGTAGGCTAGACATGGCTATGAATTTATAACATATATTGAGTGATTATTTCATGTGGCTAAGAACCATTTCAGAAGGAATGAATCCGGTAGACTATTGGAGAGGCGTGCCTATATGTACAGTCTATAGCTAAACTTTCTTCATTATTTTTTTAGGTTGTATTCTAACTAATTTTTTTCAAAGTTAAGTCTTAGGACCCCACCCACCTTTTATATTCTTAATTTCCAAGGCCACATTGTAGGTTAAGTATATGACTATTTATTAGAAGGTAAATCCAAGAAATTTTTTTTTTTGTAATTAAAGATTTATTTATTTGTGCATACAGAACTGGGGTACAGGCCAGAGGCTCAGGGGCGGCGAGAGGCTTCACCAGAGACAGAGTGGGAAGCAGAACAGGCATACGGATGAAGTACACTGCTGAGGGGAGCAGCGGGTGGGTCAGGAGAGATCTGCCGCGCCATGTGGACACCTCCGGGGCAGGCGGGAATCGAACTCATGCTAAAGTGGCTTTAGCTTCTCAGTGCTGTGCTTTAACCCGCTGTGCCACCAGGGTGGGCCCAAGAAATGTTTTATAATACTAATTTATTAAAAAGTAATAAACCTGGGCTCTCCCTGGTGGCTCAGTGGGTTAAAGTGCTGCCCTATAAAGCTCTCCAAAGCCACTGCAGTACAAGTTCGATGTCCAGCCAGAGAGCTGACCCACGTGGTGTGGCAGACCTCTCCTCACCTGCCCACTGCTCCACAGTAGTATACTTTGTCAATCTGCCTGTTGTGCTCCCCACTCTGTTTTTGGTGAATCCTCTCACCCACCACACCTCTGGCCTGTACCCCAGTTCTGTAAGCATAAATAAATAAATCTTTTAAAAAATAAATCTATGACATGAACATAGAAACACTTAAAAAATAAGTGTTTTTGTTTAATTGATGTGTAATAGACATATTGTTTCAGGTAGATAACAATGATTTGGGATCTGTCTGGTGGTCCCCACAATAAGTTTAACATTCATCTGTCTACATAGATGCAAGATTTTCTTGCAGTGAGAACTTTTAAGATTTGCTGTCTTAGTAACTTTAAAATAATGCAAAATAGTATTAACTGTAATTGCCATACTGTACTGGGAGTTTGTATTTTTTTTCAACCCTTTAATCTGTTTCACATTGCCTGTCTCTGGCAACCACCAGTCTATTCTGTATATTTACAAGTTTGCTGGATTTTTGTTTTTGTTTAAGGTTCCACATAAGTGAAAATATGAAGTATTTGTCTTTCAGTGTCTGGCTTATTTCCTCACATCCATTCAACAAATAGCCACTTTTTACATCTTTTATGGTCAAATAGTATTCCATTGTGTATTTATGTACATTTTCTACATCAATGGATACTCAAGTTTTTTCTGTATATATTCTTGTAAATAATGGCAGTTGTAAATAATGAACATGGAGTACAGATGCTTTTTTAAGTTAGTGTTTTTGTTCTCTTTAGGTGGGAAGTAGAAAAGCTGGTTCATGTGGTAGTTCTATAATTTAATCTTTTGAGCAACATTTATACTGTTTTCTATGGTGTCTGCTCTGATTTATACACCAGTGTTACATAAGGGTTCTTCTTTCTCTACATTGTTGACAACACTTCTTTTTAATAATAGTTTAACAGGTGTGAGATGACAGCTCAGGTGGTTTTGATTTGCATTGCCCAGAGCAACTTTTCATATGCCAGGTGGCCATTTGTATGTCTTTAGAAGAATATTTAGGTCTTCTGCCATTTATTTCTTTTCAGTGTGCCATTGTTTTACATCCTTGTTAGTGTTTTGACAGTGTGTACATCCTCAGGTGTAGTCTTTGTAGCACTCCTACCACTAAAGCACCCATACTCCTCTCTTGTAGGTCATTGTGCTAGTTCCCTCAGCCTCCGCTGCTGCCTCCTCCTCCTCTACCTCTTCCATTTCCTCTTCCTTCTACCCTGAATATCTTGAATCTATGGTCAGTTTTCAAGGGTTGGTTTAATTTGTCTTTGTCTTTGGCCTTTGGTTTTTTTATATTCCACGTTTAAAGTATTTGTCTTCTCCTTTCCATTGTTTAATCTACTTCTTGTTTTACTGTTATGTGAGTTTTATGAAATTTGAGTCTTAACCCTTTGTCTTGTGCATGGATGTACATATATCTTCCAATAGGTTGCCTTTTCATTTTGTGGATAAGTCTCTGTTGTGTGAGGTAGGTAGCTCCCTTTATTGTTGCTTGTGTTGTCTTTGTTTTTGATATCATATCCAAAAAATTCATTAAATTCTCTTATCAAGAAGCTAAACTTCTCTTTTCTTCTATGAGTTATATAGTTTCAGTCTTTAACTCTTTAATCCATTTTGAGTTTATTTTTGTGTATATTGTAAGATAGTGATCTAATTTGATTACTTTGTAGCTAATAATAAATTACATTTTTTGAAGAGACTATTTTCCATTCTTGGTTCCATTGTCATAAATTAATTGACCATATATTTCTAGGCTCTCTATTTTCTAGAGCTGTGTTTCTATCTTTCTCCTGGTACATTCTGTTTTGAATACTATTGCTTTGCTTGAAATTATGAAACATGCTGCTCCAGCTTTAACAGTTTGGGATCTTTTACAGGTTCCATACACATTGTAAGGTGGTTTTATCTACTTCTATAAAATTGTCTGTGGAATTATGATAGAGATTGTGTTGACACTAATGGTTGTTTTATGTACTATTGGCACTTTAACAATATTTTTCCTGTACATAAACATTTCTGTCTATACTTATTTGTGTCTTTACTTTCTTTTATCAGTGACTTTTAGTGAGTATATACCTCTTTTACTCCCTTAGTTTAATTTATTCCTAGGTATTCTATTCTTTTTGATGTGGTTGTTAATGTAAATATTTTCTTAATTTCTCTTTTTGATAGTTTACTATTAGTGTGTAAGTACACCAAATTTTTGCATATTGATTTTGATTCCTGCAATTACTATAGCTAGCATTTTTTTAGTGGACTCTTTTAAGGATTTCCCATGTATATTACCATGTCATGTGCATATAGTGACAGTTTTATTTCTTATTTTACAATTCTGGGTGTCTTAAATATTCACCACCCCCACTACCCCCTCCCACCGCCCCCGCCTGATTGCTCTGGCTACAACTTATAATACTGTGTTGCTTGAGAGTGGTGAGGATGGCATTCTCTGTGAATAAAAAGTGTTTTACAAAACAAAGTAATTTCAGTACGAAGATTGACATTTTTAATTTTATAATTCTTTAATGATTGGCATCTTCAAATCTTAGGAAAACTCCATTATATCTCATGAAAGAAACCAAAAAAGACACATTTTTTCAGTCTATGAAGATAGTTTTGACCTCTCAGACTCCTTGGATGGATCTTGGGAGCCTTGTCTCCCTGCTCTTCCTTGATAATAACAAATACTAGATGGAAAAAGCTTTCTTGCCAAGTTGAATCCTGGATCATACTAAGCAGCATCTCTTGAAGCTTGTAAACCAAAGGATAATTAAGGAGACTCAAAATATTTTGTCATCAGGGAAATGTAAATCAAACCAAAATGAGTTATCACTTCAAATCCACTTATTGACTCTAGTTAAAGAGACAACAGCAAGCATTGGTGAGGGTGTAGATAAGTTCCAATATTTAACACACTGTTGGTGAGAATATAAATGTCATTTGGAAAATGGTTCCTTAAAAGAAACATAGGTTAACATCTGATCTAACAGTTCTATTCCCAGGTGTGTACTTAAGAAAACTAAAAGCATATATCCGCACAAAAATTTGTATATAAATATTCACTGGAAAGTATTAATTGCCAAAGAAATATAGATGTAACTCAAATATCCACTAACTTGGGTGAACAAACAAAATATAGACTAAATTTATTATTTCATTTTATTATTCAACAATAAAAAGTACTAATGAATGCTGCAACATGAATGAACTTTGAAAACACGTGAACTGAAAAAAGGCAAGGCCATATATTAAAGTGATCCATTTATAAGACATGACAGACTAAGCAAATCCACAGATATAGAAAGTAATTTAGTGATTACCAGACCTAGGAGTAGTGGAGAATAGGGAGTGACAGCTAATGAACACAGATTTCTTCTTAGAATGATGAAAATGTTCTGTAATTAATTGGTGGTAAGAAAAACAGAATGAGGAATACATTAAGGTTCCCAGCAACCCTTTCAAACAGAGGTGGTTATTGTGTCACACTCCCTCTTATAGCTATCAGGGCCCCATTGCTATAGTCAGACCATTCTTCCCTTACAAAAGAGAAAACATATCCCTTGTGGCTATGTCATCCTGGTTCTCCCACATTGCTGTCATCTCTGAACATCTTAGTAATTTCCCATCATCCCATCTGTATCATTTCTTTTTACTTTAACCTAACAACTGGGATTTTTATTTTTTTTTTTTGGTTTACTTCTACACCTCTGTATCACCAGTCCTATATCTGGTCTCCAAATTCATAACTTCTTCCTCCCTTATTTCCTTATTTTTATTTTAGCACTTATTCCTATAATATCAATTGTGATCTCCCAAATTTCACGTACAAACTGCCATTTCCCCTTTCCTTGCTTAAAAATAATCATTCTACATTAGTTTATCAGTACCATCCTGCCCATTAATCCAAATTTATACATTAAGAAATTTTTAAATATGAAAAGGTTATCTAGGAAAAGAGATGAAGTACTTAGCAGTCTTTAAAAATTTACAGCACTGAAATGTAAAAATTAGAATAGATTTACCCACTATAGTTCTTGGGAGCATAATTGAGCCAGTGAGTTGAAATTACAACAGAGAAGCTGATTTTAAAAAGCTGTAAACTTGCAAATATTTTCTAATAACTAAAGCTGTCCCCAAATTGAAATAAACCTCCTTAGTACTGAGTGCTTAGTAACTAATAGAATTAAAAGGCAACATGGGTGATTCTCTATTTGGTTGAGATGCTGCATAATAGGGGTTGGCAAACTTTCTGTAAAAGATTAGTGGACTTTGCAGGCCAGATGTTCCCTATTGCAACTACTTACCTGTACAACAAAGTGTAAAAGCATCTGTAGACTCTAGATAAATAAATGGACATAGCTTTGCTCCATTAAAACTTCATTTATCTATAAGAACAGGTAACAGACAGGATTCATTCAACAGGTTATAATCTGCACTAGGAGATTGTTTACTCATCATTACTTTAGGATTTGTATGATATAAATTCTACAGTTCTGAGTATCCTATAAAGAACACTGGATAGGTTATTGGCTATTTTAAATTTTGCTAAATAGTATTTAGCCGTTTCCCCTGACTCAAAAGTGGGAAATATGATTTTACTGATTAAAGAAAGACCAGTTTTCAGAAATACAGAGTACTTCTTTAGATTGTAAAAGTTCGATGTTAGTAATAATACCCCTGATGGGAGACATCAGCTCCTGTGTGCCTTCTCTTTAGTTTTACTCCTTTGAGCAGAGTATAATGCTCTTCAGAATTTAGAATAAAAGACGTATGCTAAAGTTAATTGAAAGTCTGCAGTACTCCGCCTTATTTTTGTATGATTTGTATTTCACATTCTTGTCTGATGAATTTATGCTGCAAAAACCATTGATCAGTTGGCAACTGTGCTGTTTTTTATTTTGGTTTAGCAAAAACAAACCACTTTTGAGCAACCTGCCTTTTCAATGTCAAAGCAGTCACCACCAATATCAGCACCTAAATGGATTGACCCAAAATCTATTTGTAAGACTCCCAGCAGCAATACCTTGGATGATTATATGAGTTGGTAATTACTTTTTCTTGTTCACATGGATTTTGGGGGAACGTGGGAAGTCATAAATCTGAAGATAAATCTGCCTCTGTTGCTTTTAAGATTCTCCAAATTCATATTATTTTCCTTAGCATCAACTTTTTTTTTTAAGCTAAAAGAGAAGGGGAAGGAGGCTACAATAAAAGTCTATCATGTTATAATCTCCATCTACAACCTATATATACTGTCAGCATACAAAACTTGCATTGCCACCTGGATACTTCGAAAATTGAGAAATATTTTAAAAGTTAGCATTCTTGGGCTCTCCCTGGTGGTGCAGTGGGTTAAAGCACGCATTATGAAGCTTTCTGAAGCCATTGTGGCACATATTCGATCCCCAACCAGGGAACTGACCCACATGATATGGCAGACCTAGACCTCTGCTGAGCTACCCACTGTTCCCCTCAGCAGTGTTCTTTGTCAGTCTGTCTGTTCTGCTCCCCACTCTCTCTGGTGAATCCTCTCACCTCCCCTGCACCTCTGGCCTATACGCCAGTTCTGTAAGTATAAATAAATCTTTTTTAAAAAAAAGTTAGCATTCTTAGAGCAAACAGAGTGTAGATGGTTTTTATAGTGGAGGTGCTATTAATTGGAAAAAGTTTTTCGAAAAGGTTGCTTGTCACATAGTTCTGGGGATTTTCTTGAGTGGATGATTAAAGAAATCTGTTAATTGGTGCTGGTTGGTAGAAACGAAGATACTACAAAATCAAATTAATGACATTTCAAAGAAAGGAAATAAAGGGATGTGGTACATCATATTTAGTGATTAATTTTCAGTATTCTCTTGTCTTACAGGATAACTTGAGCCCATAATGTTTTTTGCTATTTAATTTTGTCATTGTTATTTTAATCTTATTAAAACTGGCCTTAGAGGTTGTATTGACATAATATCTTACATATTAGATTTAATTTTGCTATATATTATCTCATTTTATTATACTTAGAAAAGTTTTAAAGTTTACTTTTATTTTGTGTAGGCCAAAGGTGCAGGGGGTGGGGTAGAGTGAGAAGATTCACCAGGACAGAGGGGGGAGCAGAACAGGCAGACCTACTGAAATACACTGCTGCGGGGAGCAGTGGGCAAGACAGGAGGTCTGTGCCATGTGGATCACCTTCCTGGCTGGGGATCTAACTCATGCAGAAGTGACTGGCAATAGCTTCACGTACTGAGACCTTAACCCCTACACCATCAGGAGGCCCTGTACTGAGAAAAGTTTAAAGAATGATTGCTAACTAAATATTGAAGTAATTAGTTCTTGATTGCTAACTAAATATTGAAGTAATTAGTTCTTCTGAAATTAGGTTATTGTCAACAAGCAGTTGTAAAATGCCTTGATACTGGCTGGGTTCCTGGTGTTGAGAATAAAATAGTAAATATGATAAGCAGTTCACAAAAGTGGACTAAACAGCTTTTAGCTCAAAGACCAAACTTTTCTGATATAATTTTCTTTCAGATATTGCTAGAATGCTAACATAGAACATTATTTATCAAAAGCACTCATAAAATCTATTATGATCAGTCGTAAGGTGGCTAAATTCTTACAAAATAACTACATCTCCATATATTAAATGGTGTTTATTTTACTAATAGGGACTTCTTGTCTAGGGACAAAAGTTTATTTTCATCAACAATTCCTCTACTCTTCCCAAATGAAATTTCTCATGATGGTTTATCTAGAGTAAATAACTCAGTATATTCTGAAAACTGACTTTGAGTCTGTTTTATTTGACATTTTTAACTTTTATCCTCCTTTTAAAGTCACATAAAACGTGATTTAGATTCCTGTTTCTTAAATTAGAATGTTTTAAGTTAAAAATAAGCTTTTCCTAGTTTTAGAACTCCTGTTGTAAAGAATGAGTTTCCACCTGTTTGTCAGTTGTCTACACCTTATAGCCAACTCGCGTGTTTCCAGCAGCAGCAGCAGCAGCAAATACTCACCACTCCACTTCAAAATTTACAGGTTTGTAAGATTTATAATGATATATGTTAAGATAGAAGTATTAAAGATTTTATTTTGCCAGAGAGTACATTATTACTTCTGTTAAGCAAAGCTCATGTTTAGATGTCATCATAAGGATGCTTTGTGATTTTTAAGATGATAGTTCTTAAATCCTAATGATTTCTTACCTAATGATAGTTCTTAAATCCTAATGATTTTCAGAAAGAAAATTTGAAAGAAACTGTTGAATCAACCCTAGAGGTTAAAAGAAGTTTCTTTCAACCCTAGAGGTTAAAGAAGTTAGAATCCTTACCTTTTATATAATGTAGAAGACTGCATAAGAGATTCTCTCATTTGGGATCTTGAATTTAAATAGATGTTTAGTTAGACCTGTTTTAGCTTGGTTAATCAACTAATCAGGTGCTCTGTGTCTTCGGCTTCCTTCATAGTTTAGAATAAGTCCTCCCACAGCACTGCATCTATTCAAAGCAATTATAGGTCTAGAGAAAACTCCAGCATAAGAAAAAGAAAGGGGACCATAGAATGTCACTTGAAAGTTTACTGCGAAAGATGCTGAAGTAACTTGTTGACCATCATCCAACAAAGAAGGGGGCATTGTTGAAGTTTACATTTGTCTAGGCCCTGGAGCTCTTAGCTCCTTAGCACACTTCTTTCTTTGTAATGTAATATTAAGTGAAAAGAATATAGATATAATTGTGTATATATATTAAAGTATGGAGGTAAAGAAGTTTTAAGGAAAAAGAGTAAGGTGGAAAGTGATAGCTTATGAATTTGTGTGTTGGATAATAAGTGAGGTTTCTTTGCCTTAAATTTTCTATTTATGTATCTATTAAGAAGTAAAGGTGAGTTATAGGGGTTGTCTCTTGTTTCTTTGACTAAAGCATACAAAGTAAATATTTAAGATAATTTCAAAGTTAGAACCCTTTCACTACACTAGATGCAAGCTAGTTTCACAGGCACATTCTTTGAACCTTTGAATTTTTATAAATTTTAATTCAGATTTCAGCATCTTCAACAAATGAATGCATTTCAGTTAAAGGAAGAGTTTATTCCATTCTAAAACAGATAGGAAGTGGAGGTTCAAGTAAGGTAAGTATATTAAATATTAAAGAAATAAATATTTTAAGCTTTTTTTTTTTTTGGCCACCTTTTTAGGCTTTTTTTTCTTAACTTCTAGGGACCCATACTGGGAATAAGGGAAAAAGTCCTTCTCATTCTCTGCTCCCATCTCTTCCCACCTAATGACATATCTCTTTAGACTAGTCTTTTAATTCCAATTTTTTCCTCTTCCCCGCAAATTCCTATTTTTCCAAATTTCTTGCCTAACATTAACATTGACTTGAGATTGGCAAATTATAGCTATGTTAAAGAATCTTTCTAAAAGTCAAACCATGATGCAAATATAACTAGTATGCTTTGGATGATTCAACAAGATTTTTTTTTTTAAGCAAATGATCTTTTTTTCCCAAGATTTATTTATTTATGCATACAGAATTGGGATACAAGCCAGAGGTGCAGGGGTGGTGAGAGGTTCACCAGAGACAGATGGGAACAGAACAGGCAAATCGACAGTACACTGCTGAGGGGAAGCAGCGGGCGGGTCAGGAGAGGTCTGCTGCGCCATGTGGATCACCTCAGGTGCCGGGTATCGAACTCACACTGAAGTGGCTGCAGCTAGCTTGCAGTACTATGTCCTAATCTGTTGCGCCACCGGGAGGGCCCATGATTCAGCAAGATTTTTAATTAGTGGATTTGGTTTGCATTTTTCAAAACCTAATAATTTTTAATTTTTGGAACTGGAATAAATCATTCCTAAATTTATTTAATTCCAGATTTATATGGTTTTAGTTTTCTGGATGGAAGACATCTCAAAAGAATTCTCATTCTGTTTTCTTAAATCCACTTATGTTAGATTTTTACCTTTATTGCATAATAAAACCATTGTTATATCAAGATTACTGGTGACCTCTGAGTTTTTGTCAAATCTAATTCCTAAGTTTCAATTTTGGGTTACTTAGCATTTGGCATACTTTTTTTTTTTTTTTTCATTGAAAATGTTTCCCCCATTTAGCTTTTCTCAGTTTACCTCTCCAACTGTTTAGTCCTTTTCAGTCTTCTAACATGTTCCTAATCTCAGTGTTGTAAGACCAGATGACTCATACTTGACCTCTTCTCTCTCAACTTACTCCCTTAGTGTCCCTTAGTGTTAAATACCATGTATTGCTGACAAGCATATGTGTTTAAATATATGTTCCAGCTCATAACTCTTCCTTCAATTTTAGGCTTGTATACCTTGTATATTTGACTGCTCAGCATCTCTTCTTGAATGTCTACCAGACATTTAAAATTTATTATGTGCCAAACATATCTTTTTGTTGTATTTTCTCTCATTTTCAGTAAATGCAGCACCATTCTACAGTTGCTGGGCCAAAAACCCTGCAGTCAAGTCACCATTGATGCAATTTACTCCCACATATACATACAGTTAATCAGTAAATCTTGTTGGTTGTACTTCAGAGATAATCCAGAATCTTTATTTCTCCATCTCCACTATTACCACTCTGGTTAAAACAATTATTGTCTTTTCACCTAGATTGTTACAGTAACCTTCTAAGTGGTTTCATTGACTCAATCATTTCTCTCCTGGTCTACTTTACATTAATACTCGTTTTCCAACAGATATCCTCACATCTTTGTCCAAGCCTCTCTTTTGACCACTGTCTTTAAAATTATAACTCACACCTTTTGCTTGCCAATGCACTCCAGTCCCCCTTCGTTTTTCTTGTTAGCTCACCTAGTACGTTCTATAGTTTATTTACTTGGTTTCTTGTTTGTGTCCCCATGCAGCTGAATGTAGTTCCATCAGGATTTTTGCTGCATTATCTATAGTAAGTGCCTAGGACATGACAGAGACAGAAATATTCGTTAACTAATGAACGGTCCCTTCTCAGCTGTTTTGCTATATATTTATTGTCAAGATGAAACAAAGCTTAATGAGGTCATTTTAAGTTTTATTATAATTTCTTAACCAGTTCACAATTTATACTAGGCTTTCTTAAGACTAGCTTGTTAACTTATTGTAAGTAAGTTATATATTTTCATGTATAACAGTTGTTCAGTAGTATTTGTTTTCTGTATGCATTTTCTTTCTCTTGCTTCAGATTTCAGACATGGAAATAAGGGAGCAAAACATTTATTTTTATCAACATATTAGGACAATTACCTAATTTAGTTGCTTAATAGAAATTCCTTGATAAATCTATTTCTTATTAGTTATTTGGCATAATGTGAGATATTTAGTGGTTTATTTTCAGTGACTGTAAATTACTCTCTTTTTTTAACTGAGGTAATACTGCGGTATCCCCATCAGGCATTACCACCATAGCGCACCATCACTAACAAATCCCTACTCCCCAACTCTAGATCACTGTGCTTCATTCTGACTTTGATCTTCCTGTCTCCCTCCCTTGTGGTTTCAGTTCTGTAATCAGCTATCAAGGATTACTTTTTCAACTTGTCTTTTTCTGACTATTAGTTAATTTATAATCCACATATTAGTTCTACCATCTTGTGTTTATCTTTCTATTTCAGGCTTTTTTTGCTTAGGTATCCTTTCAAGCTCCATCCATGTTGCTGAAAATGACATGCGTTTATCTTTTTTATTGCTGAGTAGTATTCCACCGTGTAGATATGCTACATCATCTGTTTCACTCATCTGTTCTTTGGCACTTAGGTTGTTTCCATAATTTAGCTGTAGTATATATAATGCCACAACAAATATGGGAGTGCAATTTTACTTTTGAATTAGTGTTTTTGAACTTTTTTGGTAAGTGCCTAGAAGTGGAATTACCAGGTCAAATGGCAGGTCCATATTTATTGTTTGAAACACCTTTGTACTGCTTTGCACAATGGCCAGACTAACTTGTATTCTACCTACCCAGCAGTGTAGAAGAACTCCCTTTTCTCTGAATGTAGAAAAATCTTTATAGCGTTTTAACAATTTTTCTTAGGAGTATAATGAAGATGTAAGCTTATTTAGGTCAAAGGCCAGGTGATAAAGCCAGGACTAACCCACATTTTCTTAATGCAGAGGGAAACATACTTCAAGAAACTAATACTCTATTCAGTCTATCCTAGAGTTTAAATAGTGACTAACTTAGACTATAGTCCTAGCATTTAGAAAGGTCATGGGGCTAATAGGAATGAAGAGACTGATCTTTCTAGTTCTTTCACTAACTTATGCTAAAGCCCAGAAATTTTAAATCTGACACTAACTGTGTGCAGTGGAAATAAGGGCCACCTAATCCAGCCAGCCCATCAGGTGCTGCTAGAGTTTTACCCAGAGCCGATCCAGTAAGAAAGTAAAAACAGATACAGGCAAAAGTTAATTTAAAATTTTTCATTTGTGGCTCTCCCTGGTGGCGCAGCAGGATAAAGCACAGCACTAAGAAGCTAAAGGCACTTCCGCATGAGGTCAATTCCCACCTGCCCCGCAGGTAACCACATGGCATGGCAGACCTCTCCTGACCCACCCGCTGCTCCCCTCAGCAGTGTACTTAGTCAATCTGCCTGTTCTGCTCCCCACTGTCACTCACTGCCCCTTAGCCTCTGGCCTGTACCCCAGTTCTGTATGCATAAATAAATCTATTTTTTTTTTTGATTTTTTTTTATTTGCTCATATTTTGAGTTTGTGTTAATGTTGTTTTAATACACTACAAATTGCTTTCCTGATATACCTGAGAATTTTAATGTTTAAAGATAGATACTTTTATCTGTTCTAAATGTCTTTAAGCATAGTAGTTAGCATTTTCTGCATTTCAAATAAACTCAGTCATATTTCCAACCCTGTATGGTACATTCTACTAACATTTTAATTGTATTAAAATGAAGTAGTAGATATTTTCAGCTCTCTTGAAATTTATAAGGCTTTTTACCTTTAATCGAATCGTTTAATGCTACTTAAAATCCCATCTCTTTCCTTGCCATTTTCTGCTACCTCTGAACTCTATCATTATTTTGTACCCTTCCTCTAATTTGCTGAGTATACAAGTAAATTCAATAATATCTTGTTAGAGCTTTGTATTTAAATTTTTTGTTTAGTAACTAATACTGTATCTACCAACCTCATAGCTTCTTCTTAGTTCCTTTGCAATGCATAAACCTATACCCCTTGGCTCTTTCTTATTCCTTGCTAGTATCTGTTGGGTAGTCAAGACCAAAAGGCTTTTAAATAAATGGTGTTTTTTATTTTAGTGTGTCAGAAAAAAATTTTTCTTCTTTATATTGGCATTTTGTTTTCGGATTCTTGTATTTTTACACGCCCTATCTGGTTGCATGCTTGCTAAAAGTTAGATACACTAGCCTTGTTTTCCACTTTTTGAAATGTATTATTTTCCCTATCTGTATTGCTTAGAAGTAAACTGTTATAATTTTACCATAGAGATCCTGACAACATGCTTATAGGAACATCTTGCTGTCTACTTGACTTTGAAAATTGGACCTAGTCTATTTGGCACACTAAATATACTGGTAGCTTATAATTAGAATATATTTTTAAATATTTTTCACCTAAATGAAGCACTATGAAAAACATACCTGTAAACTTAATTGACTTATTTTTCATAGCCCGTAATCTTTTAACTCTTTTTAGTGTCTTTTCTTTAGGTATTTCTCTGATTAAGACATCTAACAGAATTCTGTGAATGGATATGAAGTTTAAATTACCTTTCTTATATATCAACATAGAAACAGTTTAAATTTAATGCCTTTGAGTTATTGAATGACTGCTGTCATAGGTAGTTGAAAATGAACTATATACGCTAATGTGTTTTTTTCTTCTGTACTCAAAATAAGCCCAGACAATTATTCATAGCAGTATTCCTTAACCTAAACTTTTGTCTAATAAATTTAGAAGTATTATGATGTTGTGTGTGTGTGTGTGTGTGTGTACACACAGAGAGCGAGAGAGAGAAAATATATATAGTGTTCTAAACTTTCTCCTTTGTTTTACTGTATAGGTGTATCAGGTGTTGAATGAAAAGAAACAGATACATGCTATAAAGTATGTGAACTTAGAAGAAGCAGATAATCAAACAATTGACAGTTATCGAAATGAAATTGCTTATTTGAATAAACTACAACAACATAGTGATAAGATCATCCGACTTTATGATTAGTAAGTATTTCTCTTTAATTTATAAAACATTTCTTGTGTTATAATAATTAGGTGCTTCATAAATCTCAACAATAACCTAACCATTTATTGTTTCATTGGTTTACTTGTTTTTAATGGCAGTGAAATCACAGACCAGTACATCTGCATGGTAATGGAGTGTGGAAATATTGATCTTAATAGTTGGCTTAAAAAGAAAAAATCCATCAATCCATGGGAGCGTAAGAGTTACTGGAAAAACATGTTGGAGGCAGTTTACACAATTCATCAGCATGGTATTTTAATATTTCTTTATATGAAAGTTAAAATATTTGTTAAGTGTCATCTTAGAGATATAAGTACACCTATCTTTTTTTTTTTTTTTTTAAGATTTATTTATTTATACATACAGAACTAGGGTACAGACCAGAGGTGCAGGGGTGGTGAGAGGATTCACCAGAGACAGAGTAGGGAGCAGAACCGGTCGACTGGCGAAGTATACTGCTGAGGGGAGCAGCGAATTCTGCTGCACCATCTGAATCATCTTTGTGGGCGGGGATTGAACTCACACTGAAGTAGCTTAACTTCTCAGTGCTGTGCTTTAACCGGCTGCGCCACCAGGGAGGGCGCATACACCTGTAATTTTAAGGTAATAGTTTTTGGTACCTTTAGGCTAGATAAACTAAATACTTGGAAGTTTCTAAGATGAAGAAACAAAACCATTTCTTTATAACACTATTAATCAAAGAATATAGGCTATGAACTCAAGTCTCCAAATCCATAATGCAAACTATATCTTTCACACATTAACACATTTCATAACCCTGGGTCTCCAAATACTTGGATTATAGAAGATTATTCTTAACTGTTAACTCAACCTTCTGGGTGGATTTTTTGCTTTACTTGGACATAGGGGTGGAAAGTTTTGTTCTTTTTAGGGCTTATCTGCCTTTACTTTAGTCTTAAGTAATTTAATTGTGATCATTGTAATTTGTCTTGCAATGTCTTCCCTTCCAAGATTATGTCTGTTAATAAACAGACATGTTAGAAGCATTAGGGTCTTACCATCTGGCAGTATAATTTACAGTGCACGTTAGTGGGTAGTGAATCTCAGACTGCATGTGTTCAATTCATGGCTCTGTTGCTTATACTATATGAACTTGAACAAATTCCTTAAGTTCTTTGCCTTTGTTCCTTCACATAAAATGGGAATCTTGGAATTTTTGGTATGAGGATTAAATAACTCTATACAAACAACAAGCACAGAATAGTGGCTGACATATAGCAAGTCCTTTATGTTTGTAGAATGTATTGAAAATAAGTCATTTTATCGACTAAATAACAGGAATCAACTTGGCAGTACATTGTGAATTTTTTTACACATCAGCTGTTTTATGTTGTTAATATTATAATGGACTTTTTTATTTTGGAGGCATTGTTCACAGTGACCTGAAGCCTGCCAACTTTCTGATAGTTGATGGAATGCTAAAGCTAATTGATTTTGGGATTGCTAACCAAATGCAACCAGATACAACCAGTATTGTTAAAGACTCCCAGGTAAGACTTAAATGGTTTCTTACCACAGAGTTCAATTCCTTTTCTTTTTTTATTTTTACCTACTTCATTTTTAAAGGATTTGGTGCATTTTTATAAGAATATTACTATAATTATAAAAACATAGCAAAATATAATTAGAACAACTTAGTATAAAAGTCAAGATTAATATAAAATACACCCAACAACTTTCAATGATTTTCCTATGGCTTAGGTACCAAGACAGTAATACCCGCCTTGGAAATCATCTTGGTCATGATCGAAAATTCACCTGCAACTTTGTCTCAGAATTTCCTGATAGCAACCAAAGAGGGAATTGTAGCTATTGTTTGTCATTATCACTGAGACAATATTATTTCATTTTCTAGAGGAAAAAAATCTTTTCCTACCATTTGTTTTTTTTCCCCCCTAGCATGGCCAGTTTATTTATTTTTATATATTTTTTACATCATTGTTCATTTTAAAAATGACCTTTGCTTTCTTTTCTCAGCTGTGCTCCCCACAGAACCCTCACCAGCAGTTCACCTGTGCATCACCACCAGCCTTCTGTTCTCCCTCCCATTTTCTGATCCCTTTCCCTGCAGGATTTATAATTGCTTATTTGTTTTGTTGTGTTGTATTTTTTTTTTCCCCTAATGCCTTAGTTGGGTCCCCTATATTCCTCCTATAAGTGCAACTATCCTGTATATGTATTTTTTTTCTTCTGGCTTATTTTGCTGAGTATAATCCCTTCTAGCTCCATCCATGTTACTGTGAGTGATATTAGTTTATCTTTTTTAATTGTTAAATAGTATTCCATTGTGTATATATATCACATCTTGATCCAGTCATCTATTTTTAGGCATTTGGATTGTTTCTAGGTTTTACCTATTATAAATAGTACTGCAGTAAACATAGGCATACAGGTCTTCTTTTATATATATATAATAATTTATTTTTACATCATTTTGTGCCTTTTGTCATCTCAGTTGAATCCCATGGGCTTCCCATCACCAAATCTCCTGTGTGCATTACCATAGTACTTCCCATTTTTGATCCCATTCCCCACTCCACCCCCATAAAATGTCTCTGGTATATAGTTCATTATTATTATTATTATTTTCTCCCCTGGCCCTTTATACTCCTGCTATGAGTGAAGCCATCCAATATTTTTCCTTTTCTTTCTGGCTTATTTCACTAAGCATGATCCCTTCCAGCTCCATCCATGTTGCTGCTAAAAGCATGTGTTTCTTTTTTGATTGCTGAATAATAGTCCACTGTGTACATGTACTGCATCTTTCTTCCTTTTTTTAAATTTATTTATTTATACATATAGAGCTAGGGTACATGCCAGAGGTTCAGAGGCAGTGAGAGGATTCACCAGAGAGAATGGGGAGCAGAGCAGGCCGACTGATGAAGTACACTGCTGAGGGGAACAGTGGGTGGGTCAGGAGAGGTCTGCCTCGCCATATGGATCACCTGGGATCGAACTCATGCTGAAGTGGCTTCAGCTTCTTAGTGATCCACTACACCACTAGGGAGGGTACTGTACCACATCTTTTTAATCCAGTCATCTACTTTTGGGCATTTGGGTTGATTCCATGTCTTTCCTATTGTAAATAAAGCAGCAGTAAAAAGGGGGCTGCAGGTGTCTTTTTGAATCAGTGTTTTTGTGGCTTTTGGGTAGATACCTAGGAGTGGGATTTCTGGGTCATATGGAAGCTCCATTTTTAGCAGTTTGAGAAACCTCCAAATAGTTTTCCATAGTGGTTGTACTAGTTTGCATTCCCACCAGCAATATAGGAGAGTTCCTTTTTCTCCATATCCTCACCAACATTTGTTTTTGCTAGTAAAAATATGGAACACTTCACGAATTTGCTTGTCATCTTTGCGTATGGACAATGTTAATCTCTGTATTGTTCCAATTTTAGTATATGTGCTGCCGAAGTGAGCCAGGCATTCTTTTAAATTAATGTTTTTGTGTCTTTTGGGTAGATCCCTTTGGTGTGGAATTGTTGGGTCATATTGTAACTCCATTTTTAGTGGTCTGCAGAATCTCCATATAGCTTTTCATAGCTCCTACCAGTTAATTTGATTAATGATTTTTAATTGGCCCTTTGTGTTTTGGACCCACATAATAAAGATTTTAATCTTTGCATTTTTATGATAGGATATGGATAGCAAACTGAATCAAGTGTCCTCTAAAAACTGAGGTGATGACACCAAAAAAATAAACTAAATGTCCTGCTACTAACCAAAATGGTATATTCCATGTATACAGATATCTGATGTGAATCTGCTTTAACCCTAGGAATAAAGCTAGACTTTTGAGGAGTTGAACAGTAGGCCCTTCTAACAGTAAACAGTGTTAGAACAGTGAACAGTGGGCCCTTCTAACAATTCTCTTTCATACTCCCTTTTTATGTCAAAAATATAACTTAATATTATAGTATTTTAATACAGTATAGGTGTTTTGTGTTTGAAATCAAAACTATTTATTTTAGAATAAAATGAATGCATTGTAAGGCTGTAGAAACTCATGTTTCATGTGTTGGGTATCCTTCCCATCCATGTCACTTTGGGCACCAGGGAATACTTGGAGGTAAAGTTAGGTGGTTGGTTGCTTTTTTAAAAGGCACTCTGGATCTGTTCCAACATAAAATCAGTGCTTGATCAATTCCTTCAAAGTTTACAGTTATTAATTAATTTTAACCTGGACAGTTTTATAGTGATTGCCTGTGATGATCACAGAAAAAGTTCAGCAATCTGAGACTAAGTTTACTACTTTTGAACCTAGCTTATTTCTCTAAAGTTGTGAAGAAATTGTCTTAATATCATCAGTTAAAATTTGAATTTTTGAAATTGCATTTATCCATGTTGCCAAGAATCTGACATTTGTATTTAAAAAAAAAAAAATACATAAGGCTGAAAAAAGTTTTTTCACTAATTTGTGTTTTTTTGTTATTTGGCAAATAGGTTGGCACAATTAATTATATGCCGCCAGAAGCAATCAAAGATATGTCTTCCTCAAGAGAAAATGGAAAATCCAAATCAAAGGTAGCCTGTAGGTTATTTACATCCCTTGTATCTGGCATCAGTAGGAAATGCACTATAGTGGACTTACTGGGCAATGTTTGTGCAAGAAATGCAACTGTGATGTTTTTTGAGTTTTAAATTTCAGATCAAATTGACTCTGATTTGCACACCTTTAAGTAACAGAATTATAATCTTTGAAGTTTATTTTGTTCTCTCCCTCATCTTAAATTTTGTTTCTAAACATTTATTCATTTGTGAATAACATTTATTCATTTGTGAATTCAGTATTTCCAAACACAGCTCTGCCACTGACTTCTCCTTTCACCACCTTCAGTGACCTTTGTGTTAGCCTCACTGGCGCCATTTGCTGAATCCACTTTGCCTGCCCTGTTGCCTCCAGCTCCCAAGCTAATCCTTACACTGTGTAGCAGTGTAACCAAGCAGGTGTGAGATCATGTTGCAGTCCACTTGTGACTTACTTTGCCTACTTTCTACATCTGTAAGGCTAACACATGATATCTATTTTGAAAGTCATTGAATATTACATGAGAAAATAAGAAATACATAATACTTATCTAGCTCAAAATAATTGCTGGATAAGTGTGCATTTGTTTACTAAGTTGTATTTTCCTTCCTAAACAATTATGGCTTCTATGTCAAATGATTGGCGTAAAATTATGGCAAATAATGTGTCTGTTTAACTTCCCCTTTTCTTCTGATACTTACATTTGCTCTCTTTCCTTTTTTCTTTTTATTAGATTTGCATGGCTTCATGCTGGTTTAGAGAACCAGGCCTTGATTTCATTTCTTAATTATATTTTCTATTCTCTAATGTTTGCTATTTGTATTCCCTTATTTTTTAAAAATATTTTTAAAGGGCAGGTTTTTTAGAGAAAGACACAGAAGAGTAAAGGATGCTTGCATAGATACAAGCAGGCATATATATTGCATAGATACAAGTCCTATTTGTATTCCTTTATTGTTGTTTTTTTTTTTAATCTCATTTCTGGTTTAAATAATTGTTAATTTAATTTTATGATTCGTATAATTTAAACTCTAATTTGTTTAATTTAGCTTACAGGTTTACTATAGTGTTTTTTATTTTTATTAATGCTAATATTTGTAATTTCAACCTTTAATTTTTTTATTCTTTATTTCTTTAAGATATTTACTTTTAATTATATGTAGAGCTCAGAGTTGTTTATTTGTCAACTTAGTGATTTAGTATGTATTAGTAAATCTCAACTCAACTGAATTGCCTGCTATCCAATGGCCTTAGTAATTCTGAATAGAAGACATTTTCATCTTGCCATGTAAGGTAATACCTCTGCTGTTACAGAGCTCAAGCTCCCTCCCAATCTAGCCTCAAATTGGTTTCACCTAGTGAACACTATTTGTTGACTCTTCTGACTTTTGGGGATTTCTGATGTAAGATCTGTGAGACACCTTTATTTCCCTCTGCTGTATCCTTCAAATTCCTTTAAGAAGACATGTGGATATTGGTGGTATGTTTCCACTTGCATTCTTATTCTTAGTTCACATGGACAGTTTGAAAAGTTATACTTCTGTAAGCACTGCCTTTTCCCAGAATCTCAAACACTTTTTTTTTTTTTAAAGATTTATTTTTTTTGTACATACAGAACTGGGGTACAGGCCAGAGGCTCAGGGGTGGCGAGAGGCTTCACCAGAGACAGTGGGGAGCAGAACAGACAGATCTACGAAGTACACTGCTGAGGGGAGCAGCGGGCGGGTCAGGAGAGGTCTGCCACGCCATGTGGTCACCTCCGGGGCAGGTGGGAATCGAACTCATGAGGAAGCGGCTTTAGATTATCAGTGCTGTGCTTTAACCCACTGCGCCACCAGGGAGAGCCCTCAAACACTTTTTTTTTAAAGATTTTTAAAATTTATTTATGCATATAAGAGCTGGGGTGTGGGCTAGAGGTATCAGGGGTGAGAGTATTAACCAGAAACAGAGGAGGGAGCAGAACAGGCAAGTCTGACTGAAATACACTGCTGAGAGGAGCAGTGGACAGTATAGGAGAGTTCTGCTGTGCCATGTGGGTTAGCTCGCTGGCCAGGGATTAAACTCTAGCTGGAGTGGCAGCTGCTAGCTTCATGGTGCTACTCAACTTGTCCTTGCACTACCAGGGAGGCCCTTCAAACCCTTGTTAATCCATGACTTAATTTAGAAATCAACTGAATTTCCAGGCACTTAAATTGGAAGAAGGAGGTGTGTGTTTAAAATTATTGCCAGTTTTCAGTTTTCTTTGTGTTCAGATAGTATCTATTTTGTCGTGGTCTGAAAGGCATGGTAAGATCTATTTCCCCCAAAGAATATAGTTTTTATTTAATATCCAATTGAATGTGGTTTCATTGTACAGAAGTTCATAACTCATTGCTTGCTTGATTGTACCTTTTATCTCTACGAAGTGACTTTCTGTCTTAAGACTCAGCCTCGTCTGGCTCTATAGCTTGTTTTTTCGGATTTGGGATAGCTCAAAATACCTTTTAAAACAAACACATACTTATACATTATTAACTTATTAAAAATTATCCAATAATTTGGGTGAAAGCAAGGAAGTTTAAACTTTAAGTTTTTAGTTTTGTATTTTCATAAGCTGACAAAATGTAATACTTTGTTTTAGTTTATATGTTTTACTTATGAGTTTGTTGAACAATTAAATGTGATTTGTTTGTTTGTTTGTTTTAGATCAGCCCTAAAAGTGATGTCTGGTCTTTAGGATGCATTTTGTACTATATGACTTATGGGAAAACACCATTCCAGCATATAGTTAACCAGATTTCTAAATTACATGCCATAATTGACCCTAATCATGAAATCGAATTTCCTGATATTCCAGAGAAAGATCTTCAAGATGTGTTAAAGGTAACATTAATATATGAAAGTAGAACCACATTTCATGTATTTCTTTCCATAACAGAAAGCTTAAACTAAATATGTAACTGGGTTATGTATGTAAGATTTACTCTTCTAAGTCAGTAGGGTCATTTTTGAAAGGAGTTGCTGATTGAATTAGCTTTTTTGAGATAAAATGTTTTACATCATTGTATCTGCTTTGATGGCTATAGGTTTGAGCCCCTACAAATAGATATTTTCACACCATCCTACCACTGATGCCCCAGTAATACTCTACTCTGTTTCATTGGGCCCCTTCCTTCCCCTCACTCTCCCCATTACCCTTCCCTTCTAGTCACCCCAGTTCTGCATTCAGATACCAAAAGTTTGTTACTAGTTTACTCTGTCTGACCCTTTGTTATGTTTCTCTATATTCCCAATGTCAGTGATGCCATTAGTATTTGTCTTTTTCCATCTAAGTTATGTGAGTTAACTTTTTAAGGCAAGTTCGCATTGAAGACATTTTAAAGCTTATGGATAGTTTTGGATATTGCAAAAATGATTTGTGAAATGATGTTTTCATTTCTGAGTGGGATATCTAGACTACTTCTACAAACTCAAGCAATCTGGAAAAATACCAGTATTGCATAAGAGTATTTGCTTTGTCTTTAAAAAAACAAATTAACCTTTATTTTTATAGTGTTGCTTAATAAGGGACCCTAAACAGCGGATATCCATTCCTGAGCTTCTGGCACATCCATATGTTCAAATTCAAACTCATCCAGGTACTTCTTTAAAGTCAGTTTGTTACCAGGTTACTAATAAAGATTGTTTAAGCTATTATTATTATTTTTTAAATCTATATTGGTATTTTTTTCCATCTTGTTTCCTTCCTTAAAGAAATTCCTTTTTTTTTTTTTAACTTGTTCGCAATTATTGTTTCTTATCCTAAATAAGGGGCTATGATCAGTGATTATAAGAGTGGCAGTTATTGTGCTGTTAAACAGAATATGTATTTATACATGTACCTATGTTTTTCTTATTGCTACCCATGTGTTATTGAGTATATACTTGTTTTTGCAGCTGTTTATAATTTGTTTTTGTTTTTAAAGATTTTATTTGTTCATACAGAGCTGGGGTACAGGCCAGAGGCTCAGGGGTGGTGAGAGGCTTCACCAGAGACAGTGGGGAGCAGAACAGGCAGATCTACGAAGTACACTGCTGAGGGGAGCAGCGGGCGGGTCAGGAGAGGTCTGCCACGCCATGTGGTCACCTTCGGGGCAGGCGGGAATCGAACTCATGAGGAAGTGGCTTTAGTTTCTCAGTGTTGTGCTTTAACCCGCTGCGCCACCAGGGAGGGCCAATTTTTTTAATTAATGTATTTATTATAATTTTTTTATATATTCATCTGGTTGTAATCCCTTTGGACTTCCCACCACAAATTCACCCATGTGCCATCACAATAGTCCTGTGCTCTCTTCCCACCCCAGTTTTGGGGAACAGTTTTTCCTGTTCCCTCTTCACCCCCATAGAATATCTCTGATTTATAGTTGTTTGTTCATTTTGTTTTTATTTTATTACAATTGCTTTTTCTTCCCCCTCCCGCCCCCAATCTTTTATACTCCTGCTATGAGCGAAACCATCCGGTATTTTTCTTTTCCTTTCACTATACGGTTACTTGTATTTTATAGGTAACCAAATGGCTAAGGGAACCACTGAAGAAATGAAACAGGTTTTGGGCCAACTTGTTGGTCTGAATTCTCCTAACTCCATTTTGAAAGCTGCTAAAGTAAGTGTGTCTGTTGTCTGTTGACATGACTTTTAATTGTTTTGTATAATTAAGAAAGTTAAGATACTTAAACAAGTAAGCTAAAGAAACCTTGGTTCGCTCATTAGATCAATGAAGTATCTTTCTCCATTTAGATAATTAACATATATTGATACTGTTTGACAAATAGATATACCTGATTTATGTGTACAATTTAAAATGACATTACCATGAAGTGCATTCAGAAAGATTGTTGTTAGATCTCAGTTGGAGTAAGTATAAAAAGGTATCTCTTAAGTCAGCACCATTCCTAACACAACTTTGAGTTCATTTCTTCTAGCCAATTTTTCTCTTAACCAAGCTAGGGAAATCTTAGCGTTTATCACTGTACTGACTTCTATGAAGCTATATATAATGGTTGGTACATTTCTCAAAACATGTCTTAAATTTTTCAGTCTCCCAGTGCCCATTACTTTTGTATCTCACTGCTATCAAACACTGGTCATTTTGAGAAAGCTGAATATATTTAGTAACCTATTTATTTAGTTACCAAGCAGTTAATAATAATTTGTTTCAGTTAAAATACTACTATATAATTAAACTGAAAGCACTATTAATTTTCTGGGTAGGAGTCAAGCCAATCTAAGATGTTGGTTACCTTTCTGGAATAATTTTATATATATTCATTTAAATTTTCTCAAGTAAAGGTGTCTAAATCAATGGCTTTGGTAATCAGAATTGGACAAAATAAGCATTTATAAAATCGAGGTAGATTATATACTTTATCACTAAAGTTATATGTTCCTTGATGGCAAAGATGTCAGTCATTCATAATTTAGGTGTTGAATTAGCCCTAAATTATTTTTTTAAATATATGAATTAAGCCAATTATGCTTATTCATATAACAATTTGGTTTTTAAGTATCTTCATTAGTTTAAATAACATGAATATATATTTGCAGGTGAATGTATTTTATGTTTTAGTAATTTATTTAAGGCCAGCTTTAAAAACTGACAAAGGTCACAAAGACCTTGATGGTACAAATAAATGCATGTTTGTTACATTTCTCTAATAGAAAAATTGAGTAGTACTTTAATGATAACTGAGATGGCCAGCCTAGGTCTTTAATATTTTTAATTAGCTCTAATAGTTTGTAAAATATTTACTAATTAATAAGAAAAGGCAGCTTATTACATTAGAATATTTGGAGTTAATAGCTGCTAAAACATTGAGTTTAAAAAATTATAGCACAGATATATGTTTTCAATTTCAGACTTTATATGAACAATATAGTGTTGGTGAAAGTCATGATTCTACCTCATTATCCAAGACTTTTGAAAAAAAATGGGGAAAAAAATGAGTTGCATCATCTTATAAACTGTCAGATATCGCCTGTAAAGTATATTGGACTGTTATACTCTTGGTTTCTTATGGAAATCTACTCTTGATGGACAACTTCATTCTGAAATATTCAGTGGATTATCTTCAAAAGAAAACTGTAAAAACAATAAACCACTAATGATCTGTATATATTTGTAGATCTGTTTTCTCTTTTTTATGCTTTCCTATGAATCTAATCTATTTATGTCACAGTTGAAATAGTGGGTGAAAAACTGAAATATATTCTTAAGAACTATGTAAATAAAGCATAAAATGACATTAAAGTGTGAAAGTTGTAAAATTATTTTCTTCAAGCAAATGTGTTGTTGATATGGAAGCAAAGTTTTTAATAAAAATTGAATTAAAGGGAGATATGAAAATAGACCTTAGTAGTAAATGAATATTATAGAAGAGAAATCTAAAGTGTTTGATTTCTAAAGTAGGTTTCCTGATTTCTTTATGGCACTGAAATATTTCAGCGTTTAAGACTACACTTGGCTTAATCTCCTTTTGATTTTTAGTGATATCCATTGTTTTTGTGTATTGAAAGTATCATGCTGGATTCTGTGATGTGATTTGTATAAAACAGGACCTTATTGTATGGCTTACTTCATAATGGGTAATTGCAAATGTAGTAATCGGTAACTGCAAATGTAGTCTCAGTATCTCTAGAGCTGAATTTAATAAGTTAGTTAAAGATAGCATGTAATTATATTTTTCCCCAGTTTTTTTCAAGATTATAGTAAACAAAGATTAAGATTTTTTTTTAATGATTAAGATATTTTTTTTTTAAAGATTTATTTATTCATACAGAACTGGGGTACAGGCCAGAGATGCGGAGGGTGAGAGGATTCACCAGAGACAGAGTGGGGAGCAGAACAGGCAGATCGACGAAGTACACTGCTGAGGGGAGCAGCGGGCGGGTCAGGAGAGGTCTGCCACGCCATGTGGTCACCTCCGGGGCAGGCGGGAATCGAACTCATGCGGAAGCGGCTTTAGATTCTCAGTGCTGTGCTTTAACCCGCTGCGCCACCAGGGAGGACCATGATTAAGATATTTTTTTAAGTTCATATCACATCAAAAGTGAGGGAAAGTGCAAACATTGCCACCACACATGCATAACCTCCCTCATCAGCATCCCTCACCAGAGAAGTACACTTGTCACAATTACTGAATGCTACACTGGGGCATTGTTCTAGTTGTTCTTGGTTGTTTACATTGTTTGGACAAATGAGCAGTGTGATATATGCATCACTATACTCTCATAGGAGTATTTTCACTGCCCTAAAAAGTGTGTGCCTACAGCTCGGGGTGAGGATGGAATGCAAGGACTGCTGTCCTTCCCCCGCCCTGTTTGTGTCCCTGAGAGGGACTCCTGGCATCCCTCTCTGGTGGTAACTGCCCAATGGCTGATTCTTGATCCTTGCTAGATGCTAGATATTCTCTGCACCCCAGGCTAGAGACACCTTCCCATTCATACTCTTAGGTTCACTCAGTCTCCATAAAACTGGAAAGGGCCCCCTTGTGGCAATGAAAGTACCAACGGTGCCCATCCCAGAAATTTGGAAATTTGTGGCCCAGTGAGTCAAGGTTCACAATTCCCAGGTGGGTGTGGAGTGGCAACGACAACAGTTGTGGTTCTGGTCCTAAACAGGAATTTCTGGTTTGGGTGTGAGCCTGCACAAATGATTGATTTGAAGCAATACTACTGGACTGAGACTGGAACTGACTGGCTAAGTGGGTCAGGTCAGGATAGAAGACAATGTCAAATGTTGGTTACCTAATTTATCCAGTGAGTGGCAAGTACACTTCATTGACTCTTGCAAATTTCTACCTTCTCGTCCTTAACAGCTGGTCTTTGCTTTTTTTTTTTTTTTTTTTTTTAAGATTTATTTTACTTATTTATGCCTATAAGAACTGGGGCTAGGCCAGAGATGCAGGGGGTGAGAGGATTCACCGGAGACGGTGGTTCTACTGCAACACACTGCTGAGGGGAGCAGCAAGCAAGACAAGAAAGGTTGCTACACCAGAGGTCCTTGGCAAGGACTCAGCCAAAGCAGGCCCTTCCTGGTGGTGCACTGGGTTAAATAAAGCACAGCACTATGAAGCTGTCCACAGCCACTGTAGCATGAGTTCAATTCCAGGCCAGAGAGGTGACCTGCATGGTGCAGCAGACCTCTCCTGTCTCGCCCCCTGCTCCCCTCCGCAGGGTATTTAAGTCAGTCTGCCTGTTCTGCTCCCCACTATGTTTGTGGGGAATCCCCTCACCCCCACTCCCTGCTCCTTTGGCCTGTACCTCAGTTCTTATATGCATGAAAATAAATAATAAAATCTTTAAAAAAAATACCAAAATGTCTGGCAGTACCTTGATAACACAGATTTTAACTCCTGCAACATCAGAGAGGTTCTAGTCTTTGTTGCTTAATCCTTTATGACCAATGGCAAGCTGGAAGATCAGGATATATAACTCAAGCAGCACCTCACCTCATGATTGAGACTGAATTTTTCATCTTCCTAATAATCAAGATGGCTTTATACACACCATTTTCCATTTACTTTCTTGCTGTCTTGATCTGTAAATTTGAATTCCAAATACCCTTTTGTGATTGCTTTTTCCAAACCTGTCCAGGCACACACCAGCTTTTTTTCAGTGGTCCTTCCTACTCCTGTACTTCTATTTTTAAGACCATCACCCTGTCCTGATCCTCAGCTATCCCCACTTCACTCTTGTCTCCAACCCATCATGTACAGCAACAGTTCTCAAAGTGAGCTTCATGGGCCAACAGCATCAAAAACACTTGGGAAAATAAGAAATGCTAACTCTCAGACTTCATCTTAACACTTCCTGAATCAGAAACTTTGGGGGTAGGGCCTAGTGATACGTACTTTAACAAATTCTGATGAGAAACTGAGTCATTGACAAGCAGCATAACCAGATTCACCTGCTAAAATATCAGTTGCCTCTTCAGCTCAAATCTTACAGAATTTCCACTCCCTACTATATTAAACTTGAACTTACCAACTGCATTTCTTTAGCTCTAGTTGTGCCCTTGTCTCACATTTACATCATTCCACACCACTGCTCTTCATGCTTGCATGCTTACTCATATCCTCTGCATCTTCAGCAGCGTAAACCAAGGTTTACTCCTTAGTCGAGTCCAAAGCTTTCTCCTTCCTCTGAGTTTTTTAATGCACTTACATGGTCTAATTCATTCATTAATTAATACTTATTTGTCCCATCTTGTACTGAAAACCATCATTTTATGTATATGAATTGTTTCCCTAAGTAGTAGATTATAAACTTAAAGCCCTACAGTATTAAATTTCCTAGCACCACCCAATGCCTTGTTATTCCTTATATTTTGTTAGTCATTCCAAAACTAACCTGATAATAAAAAATACCTGGGTGTATTTGGGGGAAATGTGGCTTCTCAAGACCCTTCTATTGACCTGAATTGAAATCACAGGATGGCCTTAAATCCATTGTTTGAATAGCGATCGAAAGCGTTTTCCATCATCAAGCATGCTTGAAAAACACCACTGAACACACTGTGCTTTTTTTTTTTTTTT